CAAGAATATCAACAAGACTCTCCCTAGGTGACAATAATCCAAAAAATTTGCCATAATTTAGAAAGTATTTTCAAAGAAACCTTAAATATGATAAGTCAATTAAACACCAGCGAAATTTCCTTCTGCAATGCAATCAGAACGATTAAAGTTAAAAATTATTCGTAGCAAGCAAGGTCAGGATAGCATAACCAAAGCAATAGCCCCCATCTCTGAAAGCAATCGCAAAAACAAAATCTACTGCAGCAGATTTGTTCCGCAAAAGAAATCGATTTAAGGTCCTTTTCCGCTGCACTGCACGGAACATACGAATGAATACTCAAAATACACCACACTCAATTTTCGTCTACACCACTTTTGCCTCTTGCTTTACGGAGCCACCGAAAATGGAAACATGCAGAAGCAGTAACTGTCCCGTTGTTTTCGCCGATATCGACCTTCCTCTAGCCAGCAGCCTCCTCCTCACAACTCCCTTCACCCAGTCACCCTTCCATCCTCTTTCCTCTACCCCGCTCCCCCCCTCCTTCTCCGCTTCCCTTTCCTCGCTCTCCATCTCTGCACCTCTTAAAATGACGTGACCAAACTGATAGCAATCCTGTCGCGTTCGCTCCAACTGTGATGCTGGCACCGAATCATTCATTTAGTTCTTGTTGCCTAACAAACGTTCCGCTAGAAATCCTTATCCGTATGCCGTACACCATAGACCCACCGACTATCTTCTCTGCTCCACTTCAGGGTATTTCATGCAATGCATTTTTGCTGTAAATTCAACTTGTTACCCCTACACTTACACTTCGTTCCACTCCTCCCTTCTCAAAAACCCTACGGCCCACCCGTAATAATCGTAACACGATATCCGCCTCACTGATGCTTTTTCGCATTGTCATCTGAACCAAAACAGCTTAAATGTGCATGCTTAATTCTGAGTTTGCTCTGTCTACGCTGCATAAAGCTGCAAAAAATTATGGCTGAATTATTTCTTGGTTTGCCTTTTTTCAACGACTTCAGTGTTTGCAAAAAATCGACAAAACATCAGCAAAGATCATCTTTCAGCCCCCTAGACTCACACAACACTTTCAACTTTTGCGACTTTCATGAATTAATTGAAACCAAAAATACACCAAATGGTTTTCCATATGGCACCTGGGTAGGATTCATAATTTGAATGCGAGGCTCTTTCAAATCGCTGAAAAAAGCCCAACAACAATAACTATAAATAGCTTCTGCTACAGAAACCAGAGAAAAAGGAAGGATTTCGAAAGGGTTCGAAGAGAACAACAAATGTATATGCCAAGTCGAAATTAACACCTCAATAAGAGCATCTTTAACTCCTTAGATGCTGATTGAAGATGAAATGATGGCATCCACGTCAAGCGTGAAATCCTGTGATCCGTTCTGCTGCCAAGAAAAAATAAAACAGCTGAGCATAAGATATACAAAATTTGATACAATGAACAAGATGAAACTGAAATGGTAAAAACGAAACCACCACCTGTCTATTGAATTCTTTTTCTAACTCTTATTAAACAAAAACATAAACTACTGCAGCTCTATAGTATCAGTGCAATACCGACTTTAGTAAAAACATATTCTAACTACTTTTACACAAAATCTTTGACCAATTGAAAAATAAGCGATAACTGCTCAACAGTACAACTGCAACAGAAAACTGAACCATTTCTTTCCACTTAAAACATCATAGAGCAAAATGATCTAAAAAATTGGATAGGTGGCATAGAATTGGTAACAAAAATGAGCCAATACGAAAAGAAAGACCTTTATATTCACTGTAAATAAAAGCAAAAATGAACTAAAAGATGGCGATGAGGTGTACCGCCACCTCCACCGTTGCTAGAAAAACCCATAGAAAATGCAAATAAGCCGTAACCATAAACCAAGCATCCTCTTAACACAAAATTCACCTTATATTATTATTCTGCCGACTTCCACTTCTTCGTTCTTTCTGTTTTTTCTTCTTTTCTCCTCCTCATACCAGCATTACTTCTCTAGAACTAACGCTTGTCAAAGTTCGTTAACTGATGTTGGCTATTTCTGCATCGAAAAGAAACTTAAAAAAAAGAATTTAGCATGGCAAATGTAGGAAACCACATTCGCTTTTTATCATCCAGGTTTTTGTTCCTTATGCTACAAAACGATGACTAAAGATCAGAAACATAAAATCTTTTGAAGATGCAATTAATTGCATCTATGACCATCTGTTCCGCTCTGGTGAACGATGCGGAATCGATGGCAACATTCACCACCTCATTTCTACTTCCCCATACCAAATGGTTCTAAATTCCTAGCCTCAAATTATCAAGCTTACACAGAAGAAACGATAAAAGAAGAAATACGCCTACAAAATATTTCGTTACATAGGCCTTGTGCTGCAAATCTAACATCGATTATCAAACGCCGAAAAAATATGAAATTTAATGACTAAAGTGTCGATAGGACAACATACGTTCTAACAACCAAAATAAAAAAAAATAAAGACAATACCTCTAGATGGCTTAGCTACAGAAAAAAAAAATTAATACTTATGTGAATTGGAACCACAGTAATGTAGGAAATACGGCTGAATTACTTTTGGATTGTATCACAGACTCCACTTCATCATTATAGCTTCGTGTTCGATTTAAACATACATTCATTAGGACTCTGGCATAATATACTCGCCAACCTACAAGGAACTCGTTAGAACGAAGACAGATCCCTCTCAGTTTTACAGAAAAAACGATAATCAAGAAGCAACTGCGAAAAGACACAGGAACCTCGCATCGTTACCCGTTTCCCCAGCAATAGCAACGCTAACAGCAACAAGCACTGCAAGCAAACCTTCACACTTCTGAGAGCACCCACTTACCACTTTGGACCGCTGACTGACTGACTTAGTAAGCGAGAGATTGAATGCCTTTACACAATTTGGCCTTCACTCTTTCTAACAGCAATCAAAATTATTTCTGTTTGAGTCCAAAATGAACTATGTGTGTGCAAAACTGTTATTTTCAGGCAACCATGCAGGGTCATGTTTAGAAGAAATGCTGAGAAAAATATTGAAGAATAAACTCTTTTTTAGAACAACATCGTACTGTTTGGAGGAATTTTCGGGAATGAAACAACAGCACTTCACTCAATAATACACTTTATCTAATGGAAAACTAAACGTGCATTTTGTTATGACTAAGCAACTGCGTCATAAAATGACGAAAAGCTTCGTTAAAACTGGAAAGCTGATCGTTTACATTATCTTGAAAAAGAACTAAAATGCAGCAAAAGTTCTGGAAGAAGGATCTGCGATGAGAATAAAAGCTCAAAAATGACAAAGTAAGGAATAATTTGTTAAAACAAAACCATGGCTAAGCTTCC